CTCTGTCTCTCTGTCTCTCTGTCTCTCTGTCTCTCTGTCTCTCTGTCCGTCTCTCTCTCTCCCTGTCTCCCTGTCTCCCTGTCTCCCTGTCTCCCTGTCTCCCTGTCTCCCTGTCTCCCTGTCTCCCTGTCTCCCTGTCTCCCTGTCTCCCTGTCTCCCTGTCTCTCTGCCTGTCTCTCTATCTGTCACTCCGTATGTCTCTCTGTCTGTCTCCCTGTCTCTCTCTTTCTGTCTCTCTCTGTCTCTCTTCTTCTTTTGTTCATTTGAGACCTAAAAACAATCATTTCATTTATTCTGCATCCCAATTCAATGAGCTAATCAGGCAGAATGATTTTGTAATTTGATTCTCTTTATTCTCTGAGCTGAAGGCAACTCCATACTCCCATCCTAAGGTTTGGAATAGCCTCTTGCTATGATGCCCTTGACCCTGAAGGCTAGGATGTTAAATTTGTACCAGTGACAGGCTGGTGGAGAGACCAGGTTTTATTTCTACCTCTGCCTCTTATTTGGTTGCCTGGAGCTAGTTACTTTCCCTCTTCTGGTTTCTGCTTCCTCATCTGTAAAGTAAAAGGGTTGAAACTGATGTCCTCTGTAGCCTCTTCTAGCTCTGAGGAAGTGCTATGTTCTCTCTGTTCTAAGGTTCCTTCCAGCTCTGACATTCTTTTACTTCTGTGACATTTGTCAGTCACTTCACCCGTGTCCTCAGATAGTCCAGGGGTAAGTATTATGTGCATCTTCCCCTTCAGTTAGTGGCCCCAGGAAGGACACTGTCCACAAAGCAGAGCAAGGGCCTATTTGGGACTATATCATAGGATGTAGCCCAGGAAAGCACATTTATTTGCACCTGCTTCTGCTAGGGAAGAGCCATAGACATGGAAGTATGAGAAAATCATTCTTAGGATAGCAGGGAGATCATCAAGTTCAGCTCCCTTATTGTACAGAACAGGAGACTGAGGCCTGGAGAGGTGAAACAATTTTCCTAAGGTCACATAGTGACAAAGCCGGGCCTGAAACCCAGGTCTCCAGATTTCCAGACCCATACATACTCTTTCCACTACATTATATGCACACCTCTTTTCTGAATCTACCTTCTGGCAGGAGGTCAGTTGATGTAAAATTGAGAAGGGGGAGAGAGGTGTATGTGCTGCCATTCCCGTGGGGAGTGTCCCTGTATACAACAGAGCAAGAGCAGTTGGGAGAAGGGCTTGACTGGTTACACTTATGGGATGGAAAACAATATAATTCAGCTATTTCAGTTTGTATCTTAAAAAAAGACTAAATCAGTAAAGTGAAGGCTTGAGGGGAGTGTGGGCTTTGTAGCAAACATGACGCCTGAACTGATGCTATTTCCCATGCTCTTGTCGTGTTGTCTGTGCGCTGCCTAGACGAGGCTGCCAAATAAATGCTATCTGGATGAGTGATGTGTTCCTGTGCACGTTTCAGGAGAGAACTTTTAAAGTTTCTTTTAGTCAAATTCTATCACATTGACTTGCTTTTCTCCTTTTTATTGTTCACAGTGGTTTAAACTTTATTGATCTGATGGTGAGACAAGGGAATATTGACAACCCTCCCAAGACACCCTTGGTCCCTGGATTTGAGTGCTCTGGGATTGTGGAAGCCCTTGGAGACAATGTGAAAGGCTATGAGGTAACAATATGGGTGGTGGTTTCAAGAGCCTGAATTATCTAGAGCCACCTGAGGAGAGGGAGGTGATATCAAAGGAACATGTATGGAAAAAATGTGCAACATGTCATAGAATCAAAGGTTTTAGGACGGGGAGGAAACTTGGAGATTGTTCAGATTAGGGGCTCTTAACTTTGTTTATGTCATGGACCCCTTTGGCAGTCTGGGGAAGGTTAATACTATTGTGGGTTGTAATCTATGTTCATAATTGAAGGAAATGCCAAATTTTAGTTAGAGGTTAGTGAAAATAAACATTTCTTTCTAGTACAAGTTCCCAGATTTCTCCTCCTCCCCCAGCTCCAAAAATCTATCCACATATTGCCTGTGGACCCCAGGTTAAGAATCCCTGACTTAGACCAGCCTCTGATTTTATATATAGGTAAAACAGAGGCTTAAATGGTGAAGTGAATTACCTGGGTAGTTAGTCGTTAAATCATGATTTGAAATCCAATTATCTGACTTTAAATGCAGGGTTCTTCCCACTATACACTAGGAGGTAAAGTGTGATACAGTGGGAAGAGTACTGAAGTTAGAAATGACCTAGGTTCAAATATTACCGCTTATACTTAGTCCCTGTGTTATCATGACTAAGTCACTTAGCCTCTGTATTTTTCAGTTTGCTTATTTATAAAATGGGCATATAACCTTTATTATAATAATAATGATGAGGATGATAGCTAATATTTATTTTTTGATATCTTTTAAAATTTTTTTTATTAATTTATCAACAATCACTTCCATATGCTTTTGAGTTTAAATTTTTTCTCCCCCTTCCTCCCCACCACCCTTCCCAAGACAGCACATAATCTGATGTAGGCTATACATATACATTCCTATTAAACATATTTTTACATTAATGATGTTGTAAGTAAAAATTAGAACCAATAGGAGGAACCACCGGAAAGAGGAAACTGAACAGAAGAGGGAAAAAAAATAGCAATTCAACTTCCATAGTTCTTTCTTTGGATGTGCATAGCATTTTACATCACAAGGCCTTTGGAGATGTCTTAGATCCTTGTATTGCTGGGAAAGGGTTAAGTTTATCAATATTAGTCATTACACAACATGGCTGTTATTGTGTACAATGTTCTCTTGGTTCTGCTCTCTTCACTCGGCATCAGACCATATGAGTCTTTCCAGGCTTTTCTGAAGTCAGCCTGTTCATCATTTCTTACAGTACAAGAGTATTTCATTACATTCGTATACCACAACTTGATTCCCCAGTTGATGGGCATCCTCTCAATTTCCAATTCTTTGCCACCACAAAAAGAGCTGGATAGCTAATATTTATATGGTACTTTAAGGTTTGCAAAACACTTTACGTATGTTATCCTGGATAACCTGAAATCCCAACATAGATCCTGCCTCTATTATTTGCCAGCTCTCATAGGGATGGGGCCTAGTTAATCCATTGAGCTTCTGGACTCTGCCTAGGGAGTGAGCTGTCCTTATTGATAGGTGAATGAAAAAACCCACCTAACCCATTGTTCCTCTTCACACCCCAACTAGCCATCTCCCAAGACAACTGGGTCTACCACAAGGGAGAGCATCTTACCAGTTGTACCCGCCCCCTATCCACTTCACTTATTTCCAGTTATTGCTATGAGAACAATGATCAGATCAATATTACCATGACATTCACATCACTTGTGGCAGCCTAGACCAAGACTCTTTCCTGGTTATTACTTTCTTATGTATGTTGTTGGGTAAGTCACTGGACTGCTCTGGGCTTCTGTTTTTCCAAACTACAAAGTGAGAGAGTTGGGCTAAAGTGATCCCTAAGGGCCCTTCCAACTCGAAATCTTATCTATAACATGTGGATACTAATGATTTCATTACTGCTGTGGTAGGGAAAGTGTTAGGTGCCTTAGAATTGTAACAATTATTATGCATCAGAGGAGCTACTGATCCTCTCAGTTCCTGTTAAAGCCATCTCCAGGAGTCTCCTCTCACCTTGTGTTTTTCCCCACAGATCGGAGACCGTGTCATGGCATTTGTGAATTACAACGCATGGGCAGAGGTTGTTTGTACACCAGTAGAGTTTGTCTACAGGATCCCAGATGACATGAATTTCCCTGAGGCTGCTGCCTTCCCCATGAACTTTGTTACTGCCTACATGATGCTTTTTGAGGTTGCCAACCTGCGAGAAGGAATGTCAGTGCTAGTGCACTCCGCTGGAGGTGGCGTGGTAAGTAGCTTTGTGATCTGGGGTCAGAAAGGCATGGGCCAGAGGAAGGCAGACTTGTCAGAGGAATCTGTGCCCTTTAAATCAAGAGGTCTAAGAAATGGGCTCAGAGGTGGTCTCTCTGGGTATGAGGGATTTGAGAGATGGTTTCTTTCTGGTGTGTTTTGGAGATGGTCTTTTCATTCAAGGGGTTTCAGTCTCTTTAGATGTGTGGACATCTCAGTATGGTCTTTCTGGATATGAGAGATCTCAGAGATGATGTCTTGGAATGTGAGGGGAGCTTTTGTTTTGGATGTCCATGATATCTGGTTCTATGGAAACTCAGAGATGGTCTTTCTGTGTGTGAGTGTCAGAGATAATCTCTTAGAGTAGATGGGTGTCTCAGAGATTCTTTCTGGATAGTAATTGTCTCAGATTGTCTCTCTAGATACAAAGGATCTCAGAGGTGGTCGTTTAGGTTTGGGTTTCGGAGGATATCTCCGGATGTGAGAGGTCTCAGATAATGTCTCTAAGTATGTGTGGGAATCTCAGAAATGGTCTTTTTGGATTTGGGCTTCAGTGATGATCTTTCTGAGATTAGATCTTAGAGTTTTTTTTCCTGAGTTTGACTCTCAGAGAGCCATACCATATAATAAATAATAATTTTTAAAAGAGAAAAAAATCAGCAAAATCTATCAATTAATTGAAAATATCTAGAAATATGTGCAATGTATTTTACTCATGGACCTTCTGTTTCTGTAAAGGAGTGAGGTAGGGCAGTCTTCTTTTACCACTTTGGAGTGATGCTTGTTCGTTGCAATTTTGAAATATTCCCTTTTGATTGTTTTGTAGTTCTTTCCATTTACGTTGTTGTAGTCATTGTATATATTGTTTTCTTGGCTCTGCTTACTTCATTTTGCATCAGTTCATGGAAATCTTTCCAAGTTTCTCTGTATTCATCATGTTCAGGTACCACAATTTGTTTAGTCATTCCCCAACCTGTGAGCAATTACTTTGTCTTCAATTCTTTGCTATCACAAAAAATGCTGCTACAAATATTTTGGTATATATGAGACTTTCTTTTCTTCAATGATCCCCCAGCAGTGGGATCTTGAAGTAAAAAGTTCATGGACATTTTAATTTTATTTACATAATTCCGAATTGCTCTCCAAAATATTTGTACTTATTCACAGCTCTATCAGCAAAGCACTAGGATACCTATTTGCTGCCAATACCTCCAACATTAAGTCCCAGTTCTGTTAATAATTATCTATTTGACCTTGGCCAAGCCACTTCCTTTCTTTGATCAGGGCCTCAGTTTCCTCATCTGTAAAATGAGAATAGTAGTACTTGTACAAAAGTTCTTTGTAAATGTTAAAGTGCTCTTCAAACATGTTATAGTTGTTTCAGACATGGAGTCAACCTAGAGCTCATCTCTGTTTTTTTGCTTGGAGAGGGTTGGGCTAGTCTTAAGCAACTGTTGAGAAAGAAAAATGACAATGATGTGAATCAAGATAAGATATATCCTATGTGTGGTTGTCCTGAACAAAGTCATTTCTCAATAATGTCATTAATAGAGTAGAACCAAAACCCTAGGAAAGCCACAAAACCCCAAAGTAATGCTTTTAAGTCAGTACCTATTTATAACCTTACTCTTGGAATTAAGTACCCCTTGTAACTTCATTTCATCAATCAATTAACAACCTATCCTTAGCTGAGGTGTTTTCTATTCCCTTCTCCAGACTAGAAACTGAACAAACTCAGAAAATGATCTATTCAAACTAATTAAGACAGAGGATCCTTAATAAAGTTAAAGGACAGTTTAGATGATGTTCAAGGGACACCCAAACTTCTATTGGATTCCTGCCCAAGAAGGGGACAAGGGGAGGTCATTGGAAGATCTCATCATAATTCTGTAGAAAACTTCAATATAACTGAAAAGAGAAAAGGATAGGAGAATGTTAGAAGAGAACTTAATGAGATTTTAAAACATAGAAAACATGGATTGTCATGACTGGGAGAGACGTTAGAACAGACACTCACAGGGCTGGGGAGGACATTAGAGTAGGGACTGTCAGGACTGGGAGGGTCCTTAGAATGTTCTCCATAGTGTGATATAACTAGAAGGCATGTCGAGAATCATGGAGTTCAACCCCCTTATTTTTCAAATAAGTAGCTGAGACTCAGAAAGGAGATGGGACTACCTACAGTCACAGACAGAATCAGGATTTGAACCTAGGTCTCCTGTGAATCTCAGTCTGTTTTTTAGCCATTTTATTTATCACTTCATGTAGAATTCATTCATTTACTCATATGTTCAAATATAGTTTAGAAACTGTAAATGGTTGGATTTTTTATTTTTAATCTGAAAGGGTCCTATTGAATTATTTAATAAAATCATTTGATTTTATATGTGCGTGTGTGTGTGCATATATATAGATAGATAGATAGATATAGATAGATAGTACTTTAAAGTTTGCAAAACATTTCACACAATTTATCTCTTTTAACCATCACAACACCCCTATGAGGTAGGTGCTGTTGCTATCCCCACTGTATAGGTGAGGAAACTGAGGCTGAGAGAGGTTAAGTGACTTGCCTAGGGTCCCACAACCAGTAACTGTCTTAGGAAAAGATTTAATCTAAGGTTTTCTTGATGCCGCCACTTAAATGACTTTAAAAGTTCCTGGGCTACTCTGTTATGAGTGTTAAACCTCACTATTACCCAGACATTTCTCTGTCAGAACTAGAACATCATTCTTGGGTGATGTTTTTATACATATTTCAACAATATTGCAAAACCAGAATCTTTTGACTTTGGCATTAGTGAGTCTTGACAGATTAAATCCAAGAACTCCCAAATTTGCAGAATTCTGTTCTCACAGGGTTTTTTGTTTTGTTTCTTCCTTGATGCTCTCTTTCTGTTCTTTCGAGAGAGCTGCTTCTGATAACCTGTTGATATGAAGAGTAGAGATGCATTCCCCTAGGTGTGATTCCCTCCTCCTCTGGACCAGAATTCAACATGCCCTCTGTGCATCCATAGCACTGGCAGAAACACCAAACACCCCTCGACTTCCATAGCTGCTAAAATAAGATCCTTGTTCTTTTTGGTAGCACTCTGTGGCTTATTCTTATGGGGAACTGCCCTGGCAAACTTCCTATTAGCTACACTTACTCCTTTCAGTGTGTGTGTGGGGAGGGGGTGGTTCTTGAACAGGTCTTAACTGCTTTATGGTGGGCCTCTTTGCTCCTTTTCTCAGGATTTGTCGACCTTCTCTCCAGCTGCTCTTGATGGGCAACTAGCACATTCCTGCCAAGCCCTAATGCAAATGGAAGCTGCTCCAGAATTCAATTGCTAACAAGGCTTTATCAAATAATTCTAATTACTTCCTTCTTTTTTCTTTCAGATAGTCTCTGAATGTTTCCCTTCCAAACTAGGAAGAAGTTTAACTAGAAATGTTTAGTTTGGAGAAGGAAAGATTTAAAGGGCATGTGATTGATATTAGTATTTGAAGGACTGTCCTGGTGCAGGAGAGTTTAGTATTTTTTTCTAATTAGCTCCACGGGCCAAATAGGGTGGGGAGGAGAGTGGATGTTGTTGAGATCAAACTTTAGCTTGAAGTAAGGAAAACCTTCCTAAACAATTAGAAATGTCCTAAAGTGGAATGGTTTGCCCTAGAAGATGGTAGGTTCCCTATCCCTAGAGATCTTTAAGCTTACTGATCACTTCTTGGGGAAGCTGTGTTTTCTCAGGTCCTGTCTAGCTCTTGGGCTCTGTCATTCATGGATCTCTATTCAATTCAGCCAACATGTATTAAGCCACTATCTAGTCTAAGGCATTGTTCCAAACCCCAAGAATACAAAGACAAAAAGGAAACAGTCCCTACCCCTAGAAGTTTACATTCTACTGGGAGATTACAGGTGCAATAATGAGTATGTCTGAGGTAGTTTTGAGGAGGCAGAGATCTTTAGCTCATGGGAGGATCAGGAAAGGCTTCACATAGAAAGTGGTGCCTGAGTTGAACCTTGAAGGAAGAAGAAGTCAGAGAGGTGAAGTTTAAGGGGGAGTTCCTTCCAGAAAGAAGAGGGGTGGGGCAGGGTAGGAGATAGAATGCTGAGTTTGGGAAATAGCCAATGGTTCAACATGGCTGGAACACACAGAGTATGTGAATTATTTAATTTGAAATCATCTAGACCCCAGGTCTTTTTCACATGAATAGTCCCTATTCCATATTTGTGCATTTGGGTGTACTGAATTGATCCCAGAAAATTTTTCCTGATGAGTTGTCTATGCCTTTTGAGCAGTGGTCCGTTTTACTAGAGATTCATGTAAAGTCATTAATACCCCCTAAGTTTTATGAAATCATAGAACTGTGAAGTGTTAGAGTGCTTCCCTGTGCCCTCAGATATCTCTTAGAAGTACCATATAGGCTTGTACTGGTCTGACGTCAATTCTCCCTTAAAGCCCAACTCAAAGAGAAGATTCTAGGCAAGGTTGAATGAAGAAATCTTTGCCCTCCTCAGTCCTGTATACAAAAGTAACAGTCATATCATGGGTGCTGAAAGGAAGAAATTTGGGAGAAGTTTAAGTACCATCAAGCTGATAGTAGCTTCATCTCTCAGCAGCGTCTTCAGTGCCAAAGATCTTTGGACTGAAATCAGGACATGTATTTAGATGAATGATACTCGGTTATTAAATTCTATTCATTATGTATGTTGCCTTTATCACTGTAGTTCAAACAGCTTAGAATTGAAAGCCCAGGGAAATGTTCATTGGGATTATTAGAGAATGTGTCTGCTTTCTGGGCTGCTTCGTCATCAGATTGCCACCTGAAGAATTAACTATCTAAAGATTCACTTCAGCTATTGTATCTTCCTGGAGACATTTTCTGGTCCTTTAACTGCTGGTGCCATCCCTTTTAAGCAGGGCTATGCTGTTAGATGTTTTACTATCAGCTCTGAGGTTGGGGGGGAGCTCGGCGCAGAATGTATTCAAGGCACATTTTTAAGTTTAATCTGCATTA